ATATATATATATATATCTTGATTTCAGAGAGAGGAATGGAGAGGGAGAGAGAGAGAGAAACATCAATGATGAGAGAGTCATTGATCGGCTGCCTCCTGCACGCCCCTGACTAGGGGCATGTGCCCTGCTGGGGAATCGACCTGTGATCTCCTGGGACCGAGGTCGAAGCTCAACCGCTGAGCCACGCCCAGCCGGGCTAGACAAATTTTGAAAAGAACTGAAAGGAGAGTGTCCGTATTTTCAAATGGTAGCTTTTGTTTTCACTTAAAGGAGTTTAGCATTCTATCAAATTTGGGGAGCAACTGTGTAATCTTATCAAAGTGATACTTTTAGATTCAGTTCCTGTGAATTAGTGTAATTCTCATGACACCCATCAAGCTATTAATCAATTAAGTAACTGCTCCTGGGAATGCTGATTCAAGTCTGACATTTATTGACCAAGCACTATTTTCAAGATATTGGGCTGATTGGTGAGAGGAATAAAAAAGAACATAACACAGTTTCTTTTTTGAAGGAGTTTATAATCTCCTGGTTGGATGTCATGAAGTAGGGGCCACTCCCTGTACTTTACCTACACCCACTTTGTCAATGAGAATGACTTTAGCAAGGGCAGGGTCACTCCATGCGCAGCTCAGCTAGGACATTTTGCTTTAGCTAAGGTTTGGGTTTTACTAAACCCCAATATCTTATGGCAGGTGGGTTTATGAAATGGGATAACCAACAAACATGTGATACAATGGATGAAACAGAAATTTTACTTCCCAAATCTACATTTTTATAACTTAAGTAAGAGCTAAAGAGTCATCAAACATTGTGAAAATTACACACATACACATGCACATGCAACCACACACGTGCACACATACACCAGCTTTCAGGATCAAAACCTTAGTAACTACAAAGTTCAAAAGGCACTGGCCTTGTTTTCTGTTATATTCCTGGAATTCAATTAAGATTTATTTTTGAAATAAGTAAGTTAAGCCAGGGTTGGTACTTTTTATTTCTGTAAAGGGCAGGATAGTAAATGTTATATGTATTACATGTCATAGGGCCTCTGTCACAACTACTCAGTTCTGCTACTGTAGCATGAAAGTAGCCAGAGACAGTGTGTAAATGAATGACTGTAGCTGTCATCCTTTCTACATTTCTTTTCACTTTTTCAACCATTTAAAGATGTAAAACCACTTTTATCTTGCGGGTCATACGAAAACAGATGGTGGGCTAGTGTGGCCCGTGGGCTATAGCCTGCCAATTCCTAAGTTATGCAATAAACTATGTTCCTTTCCATATTTTCTTTTATTATTTTAAGACAGATTCATTTTGTAATTAAAAATCTCGAATACCTTCCTATTTGTAAAAGGAAATGCCTTTTTCCGGCTTTCTGTAACTTCTCTTTTTCTGTAAGTTGTTTCTGTGACTATAAGAACCATTTCTCTTGAACAAACAGCACATTCTTAAACACTTTTAGGCAGTAAGCATGGCAGAGATAACTTACCAAATTAATCTGCAGCGTTTGCTCCCAGTTTTTCTCATTATTTACTCCGGCGTTATTGACCAAAATGTCCAGTTTTCCAAAGTAGTCCACAACTTTTCTGAAAGTATCTGATATCAAAAAGGAGACATTACGGATAGGTTCTTACTTTCCACATACACGGATAAGTCATATCCTATATCATGAAATGAATTCTTATTTCTCCACCTGATAGTGAACATTACACTCCAGACCGTGACTCAATGCCTTACGCCTCATAGGGTGGCTTGTGAGCCGGCAGCATCCATCAGCCTCACCTGGGATCTTATTAGAAAGGCGGAATCCGGGACCACCCCAGACCTGAATCAAGAATCTTATCTTTAAGGAGACCCATACATGACTCGTATGCAGTTTGCTAAGCAGTAACGTAAGGGCATACATCTTAGAGAACTGAACCTCCTAAGCTGAAGCTCTCAGAAGTCATTTGAGCAGCCAGCGCCTCTCTGTCCCTAAAAAGTTAGTGAAGCTTTGTGGCTTAGACTATGATAAATTTAAGTTACATTATCTTCATAAACTGCAATATTAAATAAGTCATATTATCTTTGTAAATTGTGATATTAAACACATCTTCTTATGTATTCCAATCCATTTTCATACTTTCAGGGATTTTGAGATCCTAGTAAGTACAATCAACTTTTCATTCAGTGGATTTTATTTGGTCGCTGTAACTTCAGTGTGTACTCTATCATTCTTTTCTCTTTCTCACTGTTATTACTACTTTGTATTACTAGTTTGTATAAAAACTGTGTTCAACCAAGGTAAAGTTTGCATGGATTCTGAGGCCTGAAGGTCACTCATTCCATGGTACAACTACATATCCAGTTCTTGCAAACCCTCCTAAGCCAGTTCACACTAGGTTCTCCTAACTTTGTGTTGAGAAACACATTATTTCTCAGAGTTGACTTTTACATAGTTCTATTGATTTAAACTGTTTCCTGGGGCCTTTTACCATTGGTTCTAGTTCTATTACTTGAGACTATAGATAATAATTGTGGTTGCTCTTCTAAATGACAATATGTGTTCTCAGGGCTTGGGGCCAACATATGAGTTCCTTGAAAAAAAATACATCCAAGTGAAATCATAGAATTATTAACAACCAGCAGACTTATTGAGGAGGGCATGGATTAATTGATTCCCAAATAGATAATTCCTTATGCAAGTTAATTGTCAAAAATGGTGCCAAGAGTTTTTAATGTGTGCCATTTGCAGTGCCCTTTACCATACTGGAATGGAAACAACAAAATAAAAACTGTTTACTTCATGGAATTTTTAAAATGCTTCTTAAGATCTCAAATTGTGTCTAGAAAAGGACCTCTAGTAGAAAACATTTAAGAAACATTCTTCTTTTTTTTTTTTTTTTTTTT